TGATTTGGTTATGTAGTTGAGAGAATAGAGGGAGGAAGGGGAAAGGGGGCGGCCGAGCCAGGGAAGGAAACGATTAGGGTTTTGGGTAGGTTAGTCCATCTATAGAGTTTAAACGGGTGGGAGTGATTTGGGTTGTTGGATCTTTAGATAAACGACCCTGATAATATATGGATTGAAGGTAAAAAATAAGATAAATCAGTGGTCGTTGGATCTCTGGGTTTCGACGGTGAGGATTAAATCTGGTGAGGTGTTAAAATTAAAAATAATGAGATAAAACATGATCCATTGATCAAATGGATGGATGGCTCGGATTAAGTGTGTTTCTTTTGTGAGTGTGGCGAAAGGGTGACGTGACACGGTTTAATTGGGTCGAAGATGAGGTCATGGATCGCCAAGGTCGAAAGAGAGGGGTTGGACCTGGGTCAGATTTTAATTTGGGATGTTTTGATTTTAAAAGTAGCCATTTTGTATTTAATTATACAATTGCAAATGTAGTCATTTCGGTCTTTAACCCTTTTAGAATTAATTTAAATAAATTTAAATAATTTCAATAAAATATAATAAAGATTAAAATCATCAAATACACGACTAATTACTATAATTAGACAATTAATTATTAAATATCTTATTTTCTTATTTGTGACACTAATTTCGGATTTATTTTTAATAGTAGGCTATTTTACCAAAATTAAGAAATAACCTTATTAAATTAATTATAAACCTATGTAATGAATATAAAAGTTATTTTAATAATTTCAAAAATAGCAAGAGTAATATATTTGTAATTATATAACACTCAATTATTAATTTAATACCATTAATTACTTAAATTTTATATAAAAATATTTTTAACATATTTATTGGAAATCAGTAAGTATAAATAAAGGTGTGAGGGGTTTCTTGGGCCATGCAGGATTCTACCGGCAATTTATCAAAGATTTTTCTAAAGTGGTAAACCTTTTGTGCAAACTCCTTGAGAAGGATGTCAAGTTTCATTTCAATTGTGATTGTATGTGAGATTTTGAACAATTGAAGCTCAAGTTGACACCTACACCTATCATTACATCTCCAAATTGGAATTTGCCATTTGAACGCATGTATGATGCAAGTGATGTAGCAGTTAGGGTTGTTTAGGGGCAACGTGTCAACAAAGTTTTTTATCTGGTCTACTATGCTAGTAAGACCATAAATAGTGCTCATGTCAATTATACCGTTATGGAGAAGGAGCTCCTTACTATTGTGTTTGCTATTGAGAAGTTCCGCCCATACTTGATGGGTGACAAAGTTTTTATCCACATGAATCATGCGGCGCTTCGCTATCTTATGAGCAAAAAAGAATCTAAAGATTGTTTGATGAGACGGGTGCTTTTGCTACAAGAGTTTGATATCGATATCCAAGATAAAAAAGGAAGTGAAAATCAAGTAGCGGACCACTTGTCTCATTTGGAGGAGGAGGGGAGGACACATGATGGCCTTCAAATCAATGACTCTTTCCTCGATGAGCAACTTTTGGAACTTTCAATGAAAAAGGTACCATGGTTCACGAATTTGGCAAATTTTCTTGTGAGTGGTATCGTTTCGGATGAGTTCTCTTCAAACCAAATAAAGAAGCTCAAGAAAGATTGTCAAGGCTACTATTGGGATGAATCATCCCTTTTCAGGATTTGCACGAATGGGGTAATTAGAATATGTGTGCTAGAGGAGGAACAAAGTGATATTCTTGGGGGTTTTCATTCTTTGCCCTATGGTGGTCATCATGGTAGAGCAGGAACGACGGCTAATGTCCTAAGTTGTGGTATTGGCCTGCTCTCTACAAAGATGCAAATGAGTTAGTGAAGAGATGTGATGAATATCAACGAGCCGGTGGGATTTCAAAGAAACATGAGATGCCCCTTACAACCATCTTGGAGATTGATATCTTTGATATTTAGGGTATTGGCTTCATAGGCCCTTTTGTGAGTTCTTGTGGAAATACTTACATTTTGGTTGCGGTAGATTATGTGTCTAAATGGGTTGAAGTCGTTGCTTTACCAAATAACGAGGCTAGAAGTGTGGTGGCTTTCTTAAAGAGGAATATTTTTACAAGGTTCGGGACTCCGCGGGCAATCATAAGTGATGGGGGTCACATTTTTGCAACAAGGCTTTTGACACTTTACTCTCTCTCTCCCTCTCTCTATCTCTATCTCGCTCTTTCTCTCCCTCTCTCTCTCTCTATTTTCTCTCGAATAATACTCGCAAGAAATACAAAGCTATTGAACTTTCTTTGGCTCTTGCCTCGTAATTAATTATTGTAACTATTGTCTTTATTTTCATATACATCATAATGGTTCAACTACAAGATAAAGGGTTTGGATCGATCACCATTCACTTACCTTTAGTCCCACATTTTTATCAAAATAATTATTAAATAGGATAACTATTTTTTCCGGTAAACAGTTTGGCGTCGTCGGTAGGGGATATACAACTGTAATATTGTCGTGATCCCTTTTCTTTAAACCTTTTGCTGAACCACTAAAAGCTTACCCAGTGAGAAACTTGGGTCATATCTGGGACTCAACGTGAAAACCCACACATAGATGGTCGACAAACCATACCGAGGCCTTTGGTGAATCTGCCAAGCCTAGAGGTTTACGAAGACCTGCATGATTTGCAGCACTTCGAGGAATATGAGCAGGAGGACAACCAGTCCTCTTCACATGAAGAAGATCGGGTTCGACTTCCAGTTGAAGCTGGGACTCCTAAGGACGAAAGTGACAATGACAATGAGTATATGAGGGAACGAAATGCCCTACAAAGAGGTCAGCGATATTATTATAGGGTAACCGAAATGTATCGCAAGAGGAGAAGCCCCGGGACTCGTGAGGTGGTGGAAGAAAATACGGGCTGCACAAAACACATTCATGACACATATAGAGGATGCCATAGCCACCTTCACCAACAACATACATCCATGAACGTTCGTGCTCCGTTATCCCGTAGCAACCGATGCCCAATAAATGTTACAACCAATGCGGTAGCAGCGAAGGTTACTCGTGGTTCAGGGGTCGGAATGAGCGAGTCCAGAATCATGCAAACATCAGAAGAAACGTATATGGTTGAGCTCCTCAGTTTCGTGTAGGAAATACATGTCCGGATAGATCAGATACCCGGGGCCCCACCGCGCAGGCACCAAAAAGTATGCGAAACTACCATTTAAACCAAGTGTGGCTTCGACGCTCATCCCAAAAAGGTTCAAAATGCGAGACGTACTGAGGTATGATAGGACCACAGATCTGCAGGAACATGTGGCAACATATACAACCGACATCAATGGAAATAACCTGCAGCCGGACGAGATCGAATCTATCATGCTCAAAAAATTAGGCAAACGCTCACAAAAGGAGCCTTAACTTTGTATACCCTTTTACTTGAACATTCTATTCACTATTTTGCTATGTTTGCAGATGTTTTCGTGAAAGGCTCGCGTTGGGGCTCGAAAGGTTGACACCTACAAGGAAGACATATTCAAAATAAAGCAATATGAGGGGGAATTACTCTAAATCTTTGTGGAGAGATTTCAGCGGGAAAGAATAATGCTGCTCATAATACCGGAGGATTGAGCTACAACGACGTTTACTGATAGTTTGAACCCAAATCACTCCGATGCTTTATGAAAGTTAAAGGAAAACCTGGGGAGTTCCCTGCTAAAACTTGAAACGAAGTGAATTACAAGTATACAACTAAGATATGGATTAAAGATGACCTTAGATTGTCGGAGCCGATCGAAGTAAGGATCTCTTCTAGGGAAGACCCAAAGGCATACCGAAATCCGATAGGCCAGTTCGAACCTTACTCATACCTTCGACAACAGGGACAAACATAAGACTAGAGATGGTTTAGAGTAACTAGAGATTGATAAGGAGAGATGTAGCAGAACCCTCCATACCACCACCAAGGGATCTGGGCCCCCTGAGGCTATCTGAATATAATTTTAGCATCGGGCATGCTGAACTAGTCACGACCTTGAGAGATATCAAGGAAGCAAGGTTCCTAAGAGAGACTCATTCTAATCCTGACAGAAAAATCAGGACATATGGTGTGATTTTCACAATACTCATGGGGACTTGATTGGGAATTGCAAGCATTTGTAAGCCGAAGTGTCACAACTGCTCAGGTTCGGGCATTTAAAGGAATTTCTCAGTGATTGGGCCAACCATAATCTGAGCAGAATTATAATAGTGAGGAACCAAGAAAGCTTCCATCACTGCAACAGATAATCCATATGATTTTCGGTAGAAAAGCGGTTAGCGGGGTCACCTACTCAGCTTCCAAAAAGAACAAAGTCTCAGACTCCTCGGGGAAGAGAGATCGAGTGTTCCCGGAGCATGATTCAATCACTTTCAGTAGCAAGGACGACAATGGACTTTAATATCCCCACAATGACACACTACAATATTCCTTCGTATCTTAAATTCTAAAATTAAGCGTGTGCTAATTGATCCAGGTAGTTTGGCCAACATCATCTAACTCTGGTTCATATAGGAGATGCAGCTGGTTGATAAGATAATTCCGGCTGCAAAGCTGCTAGTCGGTTCAACATGGCTAGCGAGATGACCTGGGGGAGATCAAATTGCCGATTTATGTCGGAGGGATCGTCCAAGAAATGATGCTCGACATCATGACCTGTGATATGCGTACAATATCATCCTAGGAAGGCCTTGGCTCCACTTCATGCAGGCGGTGCCGTAACATCGGAAAGTATAAATTTAGTCACGTATGTCTTAAATTCAAATAAGAATGTATAAAGTTTGCTTGCACAAGTAATATGTCAAACTATTTGTAATATCATCTGTGAATTTTTACAAAAAATCTTAGTAACTAAGTTGGTTGGCTACATGAACATTTACCTTATTGGTGAGGGTCCGATTCACCACTTTATAATCCCCTCTTCCGTTTTTCCTTCTCCTACCCTATATATAACAAAAAAAAGAAGAAGAAAAAATACACGAACTTTTGCAGCTTTAGTCGAGTATGCCTGAACTTGATTTTAAAGTGGCTAAACTTGCTAAAGAATTATAAATTTCGGCTAGACGTTAAATAGGGTACCAAAATTGGCTATATCTGCACTTCCCCGAAAAATATAGGCTATAGTAGCCCGTTGACAACTAGCTGTTAACTCCTCTATACGCCAGAGGGAGATATACAGAGAGAGAAACTGAGAGATGAAGGCGATCCTAGAAGGAGAGAAGGTAACATTGGTACCTTACATGAGAGAGCATGTCCCAAAGTACCATGAATGGATGCAAGACCCTTTTCTCCTCCAAGCTACTGGTTCCGAACCCCTCTCCCTTGACCAAGAATATGAAATGCAACTTTCCTGGACCCAAGACCCCTTAAGTATGTATGCCTTCTATCTTTTTAATTGAAAATTTCACCTTCAGAGATGGTTACCCTTTTGATTATTACTGAAGAAAAAAGCTATCTTTGCCTTAATTACTGTTTCTTTTTTTAAATCAAGAATATGATATGCGACTTTCTGTTTCTGATTGAAATGTCACCTCCCGTGTATGTTGTTGATTTTTTCTTTTGGGTTTCTAAAATTAAACTGCTGATCTTTAAAGTCTTGATGAATCAAGAATATCTTTACCAAGACCCCTGAAGTTAAAATCCCGAAAGGCTAGTGGCGCACAGTTTGAAACTCGGTGGATAATAGGGTTCATCCTTTATCCTTCTCCCCTTAAATACAAGGCTTTTTGCCTGCGGCAGTATTCGAACCCATGGCGAGGGCCCACCACACATCTCGTGCGGTGCTCTTACCACCCGACTAAAGCCTGTGTAATATCCCTTAAGTATGGCTTTCATTTCTATTTCTGAATGAATTTTCACCTTCCGTGTTTCCTTGTTTCCTTTTTGGTTCCAAAACTAGAAACTGCTTTTAACGTTTTGGAATGTATTAATGCTGAGAGACGGTGACCCCTTTTTATATTAGGGAAGAAAACCTAAATTACTTTATTAAATTTTTTCTATAAGGCACCCGAATCACTATTTTTTGTTGAATTGTGGAAAAATGCAATCTCAGGACCAATTATAAGTTTGATTTAAAGATTAGCTTGCTGACCTTGTACTCTAAGTTGGATGGTAGATTTAAGTGGTAAATCATCCTGAACTGTGGCTTTTCTCGGCTTTTGATTGGGCCATGAAGGATTAAATAGTGATATTCTGGAAATTTAATGGGTTTTTAGTTTATTTTCTTCATGTCGTTCTTATGAATTTTATTGGAAATGTTTTTTTGTTGGCAGAGCAGACTTTCATTGTGTTGGACAAGGAACTAATCGTTGGAAAATTCATTCCTGGAGAACCCCATGTTGAAGGTTGCATTTCTTGTTTTAATTCTCAACTACCTCTAGTTTAATCATTTCATGTAGCTTTATTTCAACGTTAATATTATCTTGGTTTTATCTATATGATTTTTTTATCAGCATGGAACCTTTGTAATTTACTGTGTATGCTCATACTAAGATATGAAGCTCTTTCAATTAGGATCTGGATTTTTCTGCCACTAGTTGGCTTTTATCTTTTCATATTTTCTCAATGGCTTTGGCAACTTTTCTTTTGTTGATAAAGTGGATTTTATAAGTTTAAGTAGGCAATAATATTTTCACAGTGAAATGAATAGAGGTTGACTATGGTTGTGTTTGGTTTTTCTGGAAAATGTTTTCAAATTTTCTCATGTTTGGTCGGCTTAAATGTTCTGGAAAATATTTTTCTTATAGAACTCATTTTTCTCCAATAATTTCCCTATTAGGAGGGAAAGCATTTGTTAAAATATATAGTTACGTAAATAACCCTAGTCCCACATAAAATAGCAGTAAAATATGTATTTT